GGTGACGCTCCCCCGGGAGGCCTGCATCCAGCCATGGAGCCCTCAGCACAGGAAAGACATGGACCTGTTGGAGTGAGTCCAGAGGAGGGCCACAAAAGTGATCAGAGGGATGGAATACCTCTCCTGTGAGGACAGGCAGAGAGAGTTGGGGTTGTTCAGCCTGGAGAAGAGAAGGCTCCAGGAAGACCTGATTGCAGCTTTCCAGTACCTAAAGGGGGCTTCTAAGAAAGATGGAGACAGACTTTTTAGCAGGGCCTGTTGCAATAGAACAAGGGGTAATGGCTTTAAACTAAAAGCAGGTAGATTTAAACTAGACCTAAGAAAGAAATTTTTTACAATGAGGTGAAACCCTGGCACAGGTTGCCCCAAGAGGTGGTAGATGCCCCATCCCTGCAAACATCTAAAGCCAGGTTGGACGGGGCTCTGAGCAACCTGCTCTAGTTGAAGATGTCCCTGCTTATTGCAGGGGGGTTGGGCTAGATGGCCTTTAAAGGTCCCTTCTAACCCAAACTATTCTATGATTCTGTGATGTTCGGAGTTATGGTGTCCATCTTCCCAAGTAAGCATTACATGGAGCCCTGCTTCCCTGGAGATGGCTGAACACGTGCCTGCCCATGGGCATTGGTGAATAAAATTCTTGTTTTGGCTTTTGCTTTACCTGTTAAATGGTCTTTGTCTCAACCCACAAGTTTTCTCACTTTTACCTTCCAGTTCTCTCCTTGTCTCACCAGGGGGGAGCAAGTGAGCGGCTGCGTGGGACTCAGTTGCCGGCTGGGGTTAAACCATGACACAAGGCAACGCGGGAGGAACCTGGCTAGGAACCCAAAAACCCAGAGAAGCCCTCGGGCTTCCCAAGAGACAGCTAGGCCTCGGCAAGGGAAATATGTCCTTCTCCTCAACAAATCATGACTGGATTTCCTCCCATCCCTCCTCCTGCCCTCCTAAACTGCAGCACTTTGTGGAGGAAACTCCACAGCAGGGTGTGCTTAACCAACACACTACGTATCATCATCCAGACTAAACTTGAAAAGGAAAATAGATGATTGGAAGAAACCCTGCATGGAAATCAAAGCAGCCAGGAGATCACAGTTGGTGGGGCTGAAATACTTGGGCGGTCCCCTTTTTTTGAGCAACTGAATTTTTACTAAGCAGTTGCATTTGAAAAAAAAAAAATCTGTTTCACAGACCCAGGTAATAGGAAATCACCTCTCCTTGCAATGAGAACACAGGCTAACCCTCAGAAACATCTGACTCTATAAGGAGATAGTATACTACCAGAAGGTTTTTAAGTTATCACAAAAATGTTTCTGCCAGTACTTTTAAGAGGATGATCTTTCTGTTTATTTTACAGTGAACGCACATGGACCTCCACCCTCGTCCCAGCCCTGGGAGACCCACGGGGCTGTTCCTGCCGCCACGGGGGGCACCTCGACGTGCCCCATCCTGCTCCCTGGTTTGTGCCACAGCTTGTCGCCCTGGTAGATTCTGACACCCTCACTCTCTCTGAGCACGCACTGAGGTACCACTGTACAACTTTGCCGAGTTCCGGCGGTATGTCTGCCTGCTTGTCTCCTCCATCCCAAGTATTTTTGTCACCTGCTTTATCTTTTCTGTTATGAAATACTTTTAATTATCCATATCACATACTGCAAAAAGCATGTATTAGGTTCTCCCACTTCCAGATGTGTACGTTACTTTCTATTACACTAAATATCTGATGGAAGTAAACTCGTACCCATTTACTAGTTAACACACCTTGCAGCTTTATCCATTTTTTTCCTTGTGTCTTTCAGCAGATAATACAGAAATCTATTATTTTAAAATTTTACTGCTACTTTCAGAAGAACATTACATTTGCATTTTCCTCAGTACATCTTCAATTCTGAGCGATGTCAGGAAGATACTCCTATATAAAAGCAGGAACAACTTCTTCCACAGGTACCTAACAAATTAAAAGTGGGGGGGAAAAAAGTTACAGGGCAGGACCTACATATTAATTGGTTCTACTACGCTCGAGTTACTATTACTTTATTCTTGATGGGAACTAGCAGTGACGTGCACAGGGGAAGGAGTCTACTGTCCATACAGTCTCTTGTTCAATGCCCATTTGCTCTCCACCACAGGAAAGGCACACTAGGTGCTCGTACAAGCGTAAAGACTCTGTAGTAGTTCACCTAGCAATTAATAATCAGTTCAAACCAAGTACTTCAAATCTCTTTTTTCTGGGTAACCAAGTCTCTTGCCTAAGCCTCATTTCTTTCAGAAGTAATTTCACAGACATCAGATCGCAAGCATTCTTGAATAATTTATGGACTAGAGGGTAACAAATCTTTTTCGTGAGTATGTGTAACCTCCTACTAATAAATAGTTAACTGTCTGCTCATTAACAGTACTAAGAATAAAAAAGCATTGAATTTCACAACCTGGGATTTTTTTTTTTTTTTTTTTTTAAAGTTTTTCATTAAGCCTCCTTACATATTTCAGGAATGCTAAGATTTGATATATCAAGTGTTGTAATATTAAATTCCAACTAATAACATGACCAATAGAATTTATTAAATATTATATTTACAACTATTTACATATCCTTCCATAGATTAATATTAAAATAGACCATATACAATTTAAGAATTTTAATTCAAAGGCATTTTGTTGGAAAAAATAGGCTCTATTACGAGACCACCATATAAGAACAAAAGTTTTTTTTGTTTTACACAAAAATATTTTCAGTATAGTAAGTCATAGGTATGGCATTACAACAGCAGACTAATATGAAATATGATTTTGTAAATATTACAATTGTTTAAGTATCAGTTATTGAAGTAAAGGAGTTAAGAGTTCTGTGAAGCATGCAATACAGTTCAGTTTCAATTCTTTTACAGTTATGGTGATGAAACAAGCAGCTAAATCAAACACATGCCATACAAAAAGAAGAACTGCCAACCAGGAACACACTACACTTAATAAAAACTACAACTTTGGTCCAATAAAACATTAGACAAAAACAGTTTTACAGTTAAAATATCTATTTTATACAAGTTTGAACATTAATTACAAGACTATTTACATTTGCACAATATGTATAAAATAAATTATTTAAAAATGAAGACAATATTACATCTTTTTCCAAAAAGAAAACTGTACAGTATTTCACAAAATATAATAAGATTAATAGACTATTTTCCTCCAAGTCTTACATTTTCTTCCACAGGCTTTTTCATCATTTTTCTGTGGGGGTTCAACTGCTATTGAAGTGCATAATACAAAGCTTTATAGCAGATGGTAAATGTCATTTGTTTTTTGGTGGCCGTTTTAGTTATTAACAGCTTCCAGCGCTATTAACTCACCATGTTTTGTCATCTTTTTCAGCAATAAGCTCTAAAGCTACAGGCATTTTTAAAATACAGATAATGGCATTTACTGGCAGACCGACTTTAAAATTAGCATCCATCTTCTGTGTTTGAACAAGAGCCCGTGCCACACTTCTCTCAAGGAACACCTGAATTATTGAGAAAGGTAGTATTCCACAGAATTAAGTACTCTGTCTTAAAAGAAAAATACCTTTGTGCATCACTGCACCTCAATCTCTAGTTGTCCAAGGGAGAGGGTGAGCCAGGAGATGCTAGTTGTCATATTGGTGTCAATTCAAAGTCATCATTAACATCAACAAGAGGAACATAAAACTCCTGAATTTCATAAATGCTGATAGATTTGTATGTAGCAGGATCAAGTTCCTGTAGTTTAAGCTGCCACTCCAGTCTCTGTACCGCATTTAAAGCTGCTGCTTCATGCTGCTGCCTCATCAAAAGGCACGTCTATTTTAAAAGTGAGAAAAAAGTTACTTCAATATTTGAAAAAATACTGCAACAGGCTTGAAAATAGAAAAAGTATCTAGGAGCCTCTTTGGTAGTAGTAAGTAATTTTCCCATTACGTATTCAGAAATTTGCAGATTATTCCATTACGCTATATAGCAACAAAGGTTGCTATATACTATATATATATGTATAAAGCTTTTTGTACTGCTAGACCCTCCTTTATGTTGCCCTTAAAACCTCTACAATAACCTATGATATTGCATACAAATCTACTGTTTATTCATCTCATCTTCATAGTGACATTAGAGTGTTGTTTTTTTCTTTTAAAGTGGAAAGACAAAGAAGTGTACCTTTAATTTGTCAAACTTATCATCCACATCCTGTAACCACGACATAAACTGTCTTGCATTAAATCGATCCCTCACCGACGTTTTGCTGTCATCGGGCTGCAAAAAAATTTTATTTAACCTCTAAGTTATTTGATGATTCAGTCTTAAACATACTTTAAAACATAAAACCTACTTTGTGGGACCTTCACAAACAATGCTTCAGGAGGAAAAATAAACCCTGAGTCAAAGTATCAAGGTATATATGAGCATAAATGTTGACCATCACTTTCAGTGTGAGCCAGCCACTCACAAAAAAACGGGAATTTTCAGATTCCCTCAAGCTATTTATTGTACTCCATTTTTGAATTTTAGAGTAGGAGGCTTAAAATTTATTCCTTAAAGTCTTAATCAGTACAAGGCAGACCTTTCCACAAAATTGCTATCTCTTTGTTCTCTTTAGAATTCACTAACAAATTAAATTAATATTCCCTCAGGGGAGAGCAAAAACTTTAATAAAGGAAAACTTAAGCAGTCTGACTTAACTGGCTACACAAATATTCAAAAGCAGTATTAAAAAAGTATTTTTACCATCAGAAACCCCAAAAGGAGATTAAAAAAAAAGAGTAAGCAGACATGTCCTGCTCAATGAAATAACAATTTTGGAAAAAAAAAAAAACCTAGTAAGAATGTGGAATGTCACAGCTGCCCATTGCGAGAAACTAGATACTCTATAGATAGTCCTAAAGGCAGACTATTCCAATTTAACATTTAAATAACGATCACTAAATGGAACAAGCTACTGTTACTTTTTTTAGGGGGGAAAAAAACCCCAAAGTGTACACTGGAGCAACGGGCAGGATTCTAGAGATGTCAGTCTTTGCGAACAGCTGAGATTTCAGATATCAAGGACAGCTGAACAGGTTGGTTCTAGAAAGAGCCCTCAACAGCATTGATCTTGTAACCTTCAACTGTAGGCATTTAGGTGAGCTGTGACCTGAGCTGTGACCTAACAGACCTGAGCTGAGTCTGCTCACCGGAAACTTCGTGAGTTTTTTTTCCTCCCCCATCTTTGATTTGTCCCATATGACTGCAAAGTACGGTTCTCAAGGTCTGCCCAACATGTGCAGCTGTAAAGGCAAGCCTCCAAAGACTCAGAAATCCAATAAAAACAGTTCTGAGGTGATCATTTTCCTGTAAAATAAACCAGATCTTTGCTCACAGATCCTTCCCAGCTATTTACTCAAATACAAGAAAAATTTCATCAGAAATATTTCTTCACTGTAGAACAAAATTAAGAGTTGCTAGCAGGTAACAGGAAAGTGGCAGAACGCATTACAAGAGAAGGGTTTCTTATGCATCTACAATCTTCCCATGAAGGAAATTTCAATCAAAGCATCAAGTTGGTAGTTTAACACATTGATTTTAATGATAAAAAAGATATTTAAAACTTTGCTGAACATTATGTGCAGTATTGTAATTTTCTATGGAAAAACTACCACAGAATGAAACACAAAGCTGTTGAGGGAGAAGGAGAGGCATTTTACTACTAACATTGTTATTACATAGATGGTCAAAAAGCCTGCAATACTGGGGGAGGAAAGGGGGACACGACAACAAACACAACAACTTCTCTCCTGATAAAGATTCCTTTTGTTTCACAGAATTAAAATACAGAATCAGCTTCTTTAAAATCAATTGTAAAATGTTAACTATAAAAATGCACTTACATGCATAACTCAGGTGTATCTCAAATTTCTAAACAGCTCAGGGCCTCTAAATTGGGTCAGGAAAAAAAAGCAAAGGACGTTCTGAACTTCAGAACTAACAGTGATGATACTTGGACTGTTAACAGAAGAGAAAAATCTCATTTTTTGCCCCATCAGTTAGATTTACTAAGGAAATGATGATTTAAAAATTTTTCTGTATAAAGCTTGAAATGGGAGAACGATATGGTCTCCATAAAACTGCTATCTCCTGCTG